AACTTACAGTGTAAGGCTTGTCGCCTTCCTTTGTAAATTGTACTCGTTCCTGTTCCATGTCCTCAATATGGCAACCCTCGTGAATGTCGAATCTGAGGAGGAGGGGTCAAGAGAAACGACAATGTAAGGTTCATCATCTTCCATTGTCAATTGCACTTGTTCCTATTGTGCGTCCTCAATCTGGCAACCCACGTGAGCGTCAAGTCTGAGAAGGAAAGGTTTGGAGCAACAATCCTCTCCAACATTTTGAATTTGTAATGCATTACCCATTTCAACCACTAGCTGTCAATATTACATACTGCACCTTTAGAGGCTGCATTTAAAGACCAAATGTGACAGGCTTTTTGGAGGCTCCTTCAAATGCAGCCTCGAAATGCATCTTTCAATTCCCAGGCCATGAAAGATACAACAAATGGATCCCTTGCGGCACAGACTAACCATTTAACAATGTTTGGTTCGACCTTCGAAGGATGCAACCCCTGAATTGGGACCCAGCTATTGTAGTTGTTCTTATATGTAATACATGCTTCTATTTTTCATTCTCTTTTGCCAGATATTGACGCTCGGCCGTGGGATTTCCAGGCGGAGGAGTGTGCACTACGCGAGAGCATCGAGAAATTCAACACGCACCGTTACGATAAGAATCAGAATAGTGATTTTACACCAGTAGACAACTGCCTCCAAAGTGTTTTAGGCCAGCGTGTCGACCTGCCCGAAGACTTCCATTACAGCTATGAGATGTGGCTTGAAAGAGGGGTTTTCTCCCAACCTATTCAGTGGGAAGGTCTGCTACAAGCCCAGTGATCCTGCTGTGATTATTACGGGACTTTTTGTTTCTTATTAAACCGACACAATTACTGTGGGATCACGCAAATACTCAAAGCACTGAGGGTCTGCCGTTCCTGTTCTGCAATGAATTCTTGTAAATAGAGATATATGTGAATATAGAATGGTGGTCTTCCTTATTCTGTGTAAAAGCATTTGATGCTTTGGGTAAAAACAAATATATCGGTGTATGGAATGAAAGAATGATATCTAACTGAAGCACACTTTATGTATAATAACTGCACAATACAGTATTCTAACATATATACTATTCTGAAATGATCAAGATTTATTTATATGGTCACTCACTGTGTCTAATTGTGGAAACGTTTGTTATTTATGTAAATATGAACACTTCATGAGGTTGTGAGGTTCCACCTGAGGCAGGGTCTCTCTTAAAAAGTGGTTGTGTGGAGTTGATGTGTTAAAAATTAAATGAATTGATTTTTTTCCCCGTAGCATCATGTGTTAAACAGGAGGGTGTCTATGTTCTCGAGAAAGCAGTGAGTCACCACTTTTTGTCCCCATGTAGCACTGCACATCACACAAAAGACCCCTGAGCAGCACAATACACACATTCAAAGTGTCCTTGGTGACTGTATCGTCACCCACACTAAGCATGTCGCTCACTAAATGGTGCTGTTTTTTAACACTTAATTTTATCTCCTTGTTACTTGCGTCATTCTCTTCTGAGATTAGCACTGTATGAAATGTTTGTGCTCTCTCCATCAAAACAGTGTCACAGACAGCACCTAACTGTTTATTCATGCTTGTTTTACAGGGTTTATCTTGCAATATCATTTCTTTTTTTTTTATTCTCATTGTTTTGTATTAAACTAAGGTGCTGTGTAAATGAAACTACCTATGACGATCCATGCCAAATACAGCACCATCACATTTTTATATGTACACTGATTTGTTGTACGTGTACAGACTGCACTGTAAGTGAATGTGGAAAATTGATGTAAGAGTCTTTAATAAATTATAAAGAGAGTTAAATAATCATAACCTTGTGTAACATATCTCTGTCTGCAGTTTTAGTTTTGTGTCATATTTCCTCACACACTAGATGATCCACAAAGAGAGATGACTAAATTGTGAAGATTCAGTTTATCACAAGAGGTCGTTAAGTTGAATTTATTGTGACTGATTCCTTTAATGTAAATCTCTTAAATGGTCAGCATATGATAATATATTCAAATAGAAAGCAGTTATTTTAAATATTAAAAATATTTCACAATATTTTGGATCAAATAAATGCAGGCTTGGTGAGCAGAAGAGAATTCTTTAAAAAACATTAAAAATCTTGCTGTCCAAAAACATTTGACTGGTAGTGTATATAGTGTAACGTATCACTGCCTGCTTTTATTTCTTGCCTTTAAATCTGCAGTTTTCCTCCGCTCCTCTAGACGGCGCAAGCGGGTTTCACCTTCAGTCCGACACCTTCAGCTGCTTGACAACAAGACGCTTGATGACAGTCACAACAACACGTGCAGATGACAGCTATTAATATCAGTATAAAAACATGTTTTTCAGCTAATCAGCAAATGAAACCGACACACGGTCCGATAAAACGCTGGAATCAACGCGACTCACCTGTAAGTAAATGTTAAATGTCTTGCACGCGCTGTATAGCAAATGAATCGGTAGTTGTTGCGTTACGTTTATAATCTCTGACCGAGTCGCCAGATATTGACATTATAAAGTGTAATAATAAGGAATCGCGCTGTTTGTCTCTGTTGATACTGCAGCAGGTGTTGTGTGAACCTCTGATGTTCTGCTGCTTCATGTTTTTCTACTTCTAGTTGGTAAATGATGGTAAATTAATTAATTAAATTAAATGAATTAAGTCTAGTTCTGATAATAAGAGCCATAATGAAACCAGAGTCGTTAAAATGCTTTTTTCTTTATTTAAAAAAATACGTCGCAAAAAATTAAAAGTGTGATGCAATAAATTAAATGTGATGTTAGTTCAGTTTACAGGGACACTCTGCGATTGGATTTCATTGCAAATCATTTGCTCGTGATGTTTTTATAATCCTATTCTGATGTTTTGTAGATCAGGGATTCTTCTGGATGGGAATTTTTTTTAAATTATTATTATTATTATTATTATTATTAGCATTATTATTCAGCATTTCCACTGATTTTTTTTTTGTGGCCTGCAAGAAAGTAATTTAATAGCATCATCAGAACTAAACTGAAATGTACAGTAGATTGAATGAAACTGATTGATACAGCATTACTGAAGTATAATAGTATAGAGTCTGTAGTATTTTATAACTATGCAACATTAATATATGTAGCTATTTTTATTACCTGTTTTTTTGACTAATAATGTCTTTATTCCTGTCTTGACTGAACAGAATAAGTGCTGTGCTGTGGATTGTAAAGCTGGACAGACAGTGACTGTAATGATGGACATCTGCTTGTGGACAGGTGATGTATCTACTGTGTGAATGTGTGTTCTAGTGCACTAAACATGTAGGTTACCATCATTTTCTTTCTGAAGGGCCTCTCCTGTGAAAAGCAAATGATGGTAACCTAAGTAGGTGAGGAAGGGACGGCAGATGATAATTTTTATGTGGCTTTCTTTTTATGTTCCAGTCTGTCCAAAAGCATAACCACTGTTAGTCACAGTGCGGGAAGCTCCAGGGGGAGACCGTACTGGTATACCCCTTCTTTGGGCGCGCCTTCACACACACTCCACCATTCACTCATATCGCAGAGACCTGGCTGGGATCGAACCAGTAACCTCTGAACCCGTGAGGCAGCACTCTTATCTGTGAGCCACAGATCTCTTGTTAGAGCAAGTGAAGGAACTTATATTTCACTGTTGACTTGTGAGTTCCCAATAAAGACATTAAAGTAAGCTGTGTACATGATATAATGAGATGGGATTTGAACCCATGTTTCCATCTCAGGCTCATCCGCCAACATTGTGTGCTTATCCACTAGACCATCATGAATTTCATATTGTGGTGTGGCATTTGAATGACTTTGTTGGATGAGATTGATTTACAGTAAGAAAGAGTAGGATTTGAACTCCGATCTCCCAGATTCAAACACAAAGCTTTATCTCTCGAGCCACTGAGTCTGTGTAGTTAATGAGTGTTTTGAGCAGGCCTTAATTGAGAGATTTGTTCTAAATTATGAACAATAATTCTGGGTTTGAACCAGGACTTTAATGCTTGAGATTGAAACCTTTAACCACTGAGCCACAGAAGCCAATGTTGTTCTGGTGTTGTTTTTTAGTGTCATTTAGTTTTTAAGTTTAGCTTAATGTAGGTTTAGGATGAGTAAAATACATTCAATGCATCTGTGGGATTTGAACACAACTGCATTGCAGCGTCATGAGTAAAAGTCTCATGTTTAGCCACTGCACTCCAGGTAAAATAGATGGTTTACTATTGTTTTATCTTGTTTGTAGTGTAAATCTCATTTAACGTGATACAAAAATTGCTAGATTTGAGCCAGTACTTTCACACCCAAAGGTGAACAAAATCCACCGTATCACAGAGACTGTGTTAAATTCACTGTTGTTTTTGGTCTTTTACATTAGCATTTATTATGATAAGTTGCAGCAGTGCAATTGACAAAAATCACCACAGGAGGGTGAAATCAGGTTAAGATTTTTGTACTTGATTGTAATTCACAAAAATCACCACAGGAGGACGAAGCCAGGTTAAGATTTTTATACTCGATTGTAATTCACAAAAATCACCACAGGAGGGCAAAATAAATCGAAGTTTATTATACTCTATTGTAATTGACAAAAATCACCACAGGAGGGCGAAACTAGGTTAAGATTTTTATACTCGATTGTAATTCGCAAAAATCCCCACAGTATGCCTAATGAGTCTACTCTTAACCGAGTCTAATGAACGCCCTCCTGTGGTATTTTTTGTGCATTTCATTTTTTTGTCATTGTTTGTGTGTGATTTTGTTGGTTAAGGCTAGAAGGGAGATAGCTGTGGCTACTGGGCATGCGCACATCAATATAGCGTAATTGTTGTCACACTGTACCACAATAATTACTATTTTTACATTATTGTAAGGGGTAGGTTTAGGGTTGGGTTAGGTGTAGACGTTAATAAAATACAACCTAATAGGTAGAAAATTTAATTTAATTGTTAGGTTCCGGTCGGAGCTGTATCCCTTCTAGCCACAACCGATTTTGTTCTGTCCTCTCCTGCTAAAATAAACTGATACACAAAAAAAGTCAGAGGACCTAAGTGGGCCTCCTGTGGTGATTATTGTGAATTACAGCGCTGCAAATGGAGTCAAATGAACTTAAGCAGGAACTTGTTCTGTTCTCTCTGTTCTTGTAATACATGAAAAAAATACATTTTTATACATGAAAAAAATCAAATGATCAAGACTAACGTTCAAAGGTGATCTTGGCACTAGTTTTTCCTCCGCTCCTCTAGGCGGCGCAAGCGGGTTTCACCTTCAGTCCGACACCTTCAGCTGCTTGACAACAAGACGCTTGATGACAGTCACAACAACACGTGCAGATGACAGCTATTAATATCAGTATAAAAACATGTTTTTCAGCTAATCAGCAAATGAAACCGACACACGGTCCGATAAAACGCTGGAATTGAGTGTCACGCGACTCACCTGTAAGTAACTTTATGCATGAAGCGAATTTCTCTTGTTAAATGTCTTGCACGCGCTGTATAGCAAATGAATCGGTAATTGTTGCGTTACGTTTATAATCTCTGACCGAGTCGCCAGATATTGACATTATAAAGTGTAATAATAAGGAATCGCGCTGTTTGTCTCTGTTGACGCTGCAGCAGGTGTGTGAAGCTCTGATGTTCTGCTGCTTCATGCTTTTTCTGCTTCTAGTTCTGATAATAAGAGCACAGTCATTCAAAAACTTTTTTGTTTGAAAAGATATGTCGCAAAAAAATAGAGCAGTTTACAGGCAGTGACTAAACACTCGATTGGTTTTCATTGCAAATGATTTGCTTGTTTTGTTTTTATAATTAAGTTCTGATGTTTTGTAGATCAGGGATATTTTTGATGAGTTTTTTTTAATTAGTATTATGTTGATTATTTAGCATTTCCACTGAGTTGTTTTTTTGTGGAGTGACTTTGTTGGATGAGATTGCAAGAAAGTAATTTAATAGCATCATCAGAACTAAACTGAAATGTACAGTAGATTGAATGAAACTGATTGATACAGCATTACTGAAGTATAATAGTATAGAGTCTGTAGTATTTTATAACTATGCAACATTAATATATGTAGCTATTTTTATTACCTGTTTTTTTGACTAATAATGTCTTTATTCCTGTCTTGACTGAACAGAATAAGTGCTGTGCTGTGGATTGTAAAGCTGGACAGACAGTGACTGTAATGATGGACATCTGCTTGTGGACAGGTGATGTATCTACTGTGTGAATGTGTGTTCTAGTGCACTAAACATGTAGGTTACCATCATTTTCTTTCTGAAGGGCCTCTCCTGTGAAAAGCAAATGATGGTAACCTAAGTAGGTGAGGAAGGGACGGCAGATGATAATTTTTATGCAGCTTTCTTTTTATTTTCCAGTCTGTCCAAAAGCATAACCACTGTTAGTCACAGTGCGGGAAGCTCCAGGGGGAGACCGTACTGGTATCCCCCTTCTTTGGGCACGCCTTCACACACACTCCACCATTCACTCATATCGCAGAGACCTGGCTGGGATCGAACCAGCAACCTCTGAACCCGTGAGGCAGCGCTCTTACCTGTGAGCCACAGGTCTCTTGTTAGAGCAAGTGAAGGAACTTATATTTCACTGTTGACTTGTGAGTTCCCAATAAATACGTTAAAGTAAGCTGTGTATATGATATAATGAGATGGGATTTGAACCCATATCTTCATCATAGGCTCATCCTTCAACATTGTGTGCTTATCCACTAGACCATCATGGATTTCACTTCATGTTGTGGCATTTGAATGACTTTGTTGGATGAGATAGAGTTAAAGTAAGCAATAGTGCAGTTTGAACCAGGACGTTCATGTTTGAGACTGAAGCCTTTAACCACTGAGACACAGAGACTGATGTTGCATGCTTTAATTTTTTTAGGGTCGTTTAGATTTGTCGTTTAGTTGTTTGGTTAATCTTAATGTAGGTTTATGCTGAATAAAACATTTTATTGCTTCTATTGGGTTAGTTCAAAGTTACATGAATAGCCATGCACCACTAGGCTTTAGTTAAAACAAGTGGTTTTCTACGTTTTTATCTTGTTTGAACCTCATTTTAAATTTAAAACTTGCTAGATTTGATTCAATGCTTTCACACCCAAAGGGTGAACAATTATCCACCGTACCACAGACAGTGTTTAGGCCACTATCATTTTTGGTCTTTTATATTAGCATTTTTTAATATCTGTTTAATATTTAGTAATTTAATCCTCAAAATTTCACACTCTCTTTTTTTCATTTAAAATATAGAAGTATTATCCAGGTAAACAAAATTACTTGTTTACGCTATTCTGGAGGAAATAATTTTTTTGTTCAGTTTAAATGATTTCGTATGCAAGTAGCTTATTGCATTCTTCTGTGCTGTTTTTTCAAAATGATGCCAATCTCAGTCAGGTCTAATAACTTGTAAGCTCTATTCTTCTCCAAGAGGGTGAGAGCAGAAGAACATACCCATAATGCATTGTAATGTCAACAGCCAATCATAATTATTCTCACAATCTGTATGTGATTTAATTTTTCTCAGGCTTGTTAAAACACTGCCAAAAAAAAAAGGGACGCACTCTAGTGGCAACTTTTGTGAATTACACCACTACAAATCGAGTCTAATAAATGCACTAAAGGTCTGCAAGGGGGTGAGAGCACAACGCATTTCAGTATGAACAACAAAGCTATTCGTGCTATGTTCTGTCCTCTCTTCTGATAAAAATAATACATTTATTAGCAAGAAAGTTAGAAGACCTGTAAATTGCACCACTGCAAATCGAGTCTGATGTCTTTAAACAGCCCTCGTGTGGTGATATTCCTTCTCCTTCATGTGGAAAATTGTGTCAAGTGCTTTATTTTACCTGGTTTTGCCTGGGGAAAAAAACAAACAACAACAACAACAACAGGAGCCTGAGTGTGGAAGTGCCAACTTATATATTATTAACACAAAGTGCTTATTATTTTTCATTATAAAATAACATATTTAGTGTTTATATAAACCGAATGATTCTCTTACATTGTTGTGTCCTACCTCTTGATGCAAGATAGAGGAACATAAGCTGGCGCCCTCCTGTGGTGAATTGCGTGAGTTGCACTGAAGCAACTGTTTTGTTCGCCTGCAACTCGAGATAAAGGAAAACCTTTTATTAAATTATTTTGCATTGATTTAAATTTAAAATATTGATTATTCTGTGTATCAAAACATTTTTAATATTTAAAAATATCTCTGCTGAGTAAAATAAAGATAAACGTGATGTTTTTATTTCCAGGCGCCCTCCCGTGGTGAACTGTGTGTATTACTGATGCAACTTATTTGTCAATTAGATAACTCGAGTCAGAGGAAGCCTTTGTGTTCAATTATTTAGCACTGATTAAACATTAAACTCTATAAAAAATGATTACATAAAAAAATTAAAAAATGCATTGCATGTTGTCAGAGGAACGAATTGTGTGAATTACAATTTTTTATTTTATTTTACAGGCTATCCAGTCTGAATCGTGCACAGATTTAAAATTTGGTCATTTTCAGTATTTCTTTGGACTACAAAACATTAAGATTTTAATCAGAATTTAATTATTTATATAACTGGATGCCACTTAATTAAACATGTTGCTCTCATGAGGTAGCTTATATTGGCAACAATACAGTAAACTGCTGTTTAAAACGAACTGTATTGTGTGTGTGTTTGTTTAACTACATTTGTAGTATTTATTTGCACAATGCAGCATGCAATATCCTAGTATTACAGCCTGTTCATATCTTGCAAATGTAATGTAAATAGGATGTAAAAAGGAACAATGACAATGCATGTGTCGATGTAGCCTAGCTGTGCTATTTTAAATAGAGAAGACTGCTTACCTTACCTTTATTGGCTTAAACCTCAATGGTAATGATAATGTATTTGTATCTTTCTGGAAGCCTCCACGTTTGTATGATGTCATACACCTTTATAGCAAACTAGCAAAATTAATGTTAGGAAATTTAGGAAGTTTCCAAGTTAAAACAAGCGAAAATTAAAGTACCACATCTTAGTTAAATGGAGCACTATTCTGGAATATTATTTGCTAACCTTTTAAAACTATTGCATTTTGCCCCTTTTAAATGCACACAGATCTTCTTATGGCACCATATGCAAACCTTTGTAAGCTGAATTTTAATGTTTATGAGTTCAGTTGTTACAAGCAGTCTCAGTCTTCTTCCATTTGCCATTTGTTCAGTCCTTTATGCACATTGTAAGAAAAGCAAAAACCAAGACAAATGTATGTGCCAAGCCGTGATTTGCATTGGTTTGCCTTAAAACCTATAGTAGCCTACTGAGGGAAAACAGATGCTGATTAAAATGTGATTAAAGTTAGTTATTGAAAGGCCGTATGAAGCACAGCACCATTTGTGGCAGAGAAACGTTATATAAATATATTTTAATTTTAAATATGAAAACTTACTTTGTTGGTTCTTATGGGACTGCATTTATCTTTGAGAAAATATACAGTATAGAGTCAAATGACAGCTTAGCAGATACAGTGTTACAAAATAAAGACGTTTTAAAACACTGGCAAAACATTTGTACATTCACATGCACTGTATGTTTCCATCCTCCAAAAGTTCCTTTAAGATGCTCCTTTGCATATTCTTTAAACACAAGGAGCAAGTTTGCAAGTCATTCATTGCTATTCTTAGCTTATTTGAATATAGTTAAATCAAGATTTGATTGCCAAATGTGTCGAACTTGCTCTTAAGACTTGTGAAAAAAAAAAAAAAAAAATCTTCAGAACCAGTGATATAAAACAATGCATTTAGCATTTTCATCTCTTTTGTTTACACTGATACCATACATTGCTTAAATTTGTTCATGTTCATTGATTCCAGCAGTTTTTAATATGTGCAATCATTACTTTTGCATTAACAAAAAACCTTGTAGTTAACTTAAGTTAACATGCTTTTCTCAGAGCGGTCCATTGGGTTATTGTGAGCAGATTTCTTTCTTACACTGTATGTGAATAACAGCTGGGGTCAGTCAGAGGAGGGAGGGAGGGGGGTAAAGCTGCTTTCTTTTAACAAAGGTCTCTTACACCTCTATGAACACACATTCACTCATTCTCAAGGACTGCACGACGAAGAGCCAGACGAGTCACAGCTAAAGGTTTTAACACCTTATTTGTTTCAGGTAATGTCTGATCGTGATCTACTTTTAGCTTGTTGAATGGTGTCACCATAACACAATTGAAAAATAATCATGATTTTGAGTCGCTTTTTACGGTGAAAGGGCATATGTATGTTATGAGAAATCATTTAAGATCATTTTGATAATTATAGAACATGTAAAATATATACACGTCAAATTAAATACACTGAATGTACAAAGCCATACTGTAGGCCTATAGCTGTAGGAGCTTTTTAAAAATAATTTGAATTAATGTAGTTTTGAAGAAAGTGGTCTTGCAAAAATGGTAAAAAAAAAAGAAGCAAAACAAAACAATATAACCAATATTTTAAACCAGTTAAATGCAGTATATCCCATTTTCATTAAATCCTAAAGAATTGCACAAATATACATATACTAGTAAGATACATATAATAGTAAGAACAATTATAAAATGTAGCTGTTTTTATGTGAGCATTTTGTTGAAGTTAAAACAACTTTTAAATCACAATTATCATCGAGCATTAGTAGTTGCTGAAGCTTTGTCGTTATTTTTCAGTTTTTGCTGCTTATTGATAACATTTGTTTCTTTTCAGTAACTATGCTGTACTTCTTGAGCTTCATTCTGCTTCTAGGTGAGAAACAAAAATACGATCACAATGTATTGTATGCAAAAAAATTCAGGTTTTACTATCCTTGTGGGACGTTTGGGCTTTACCTGGACCACAAATCCCACCGTTTTATGTGACTCCCCTCAACTTTTTGTGTTTTTCATACAGAGAGTGTAGAAAATGCACTTGTCAGTAAAACCAGCGCGATCAGTGACGTCTCGGTGAGGTTGTTGGATGGTACTGATGCTTGTTCTGGAAGGGTCGAAATTTACAAGGACAGCGACTGGGGCACCATTTGTGATGAAGGGCTAGACGATGTCGAAGGCAACTTGGTCTGCTATGAGGCAGGCTGCGGTCCTCTCATATCCATACAGCCTAGTGCCTTCTTTAAAGAGGGTTCGGGATCGGTACTGACGGATGACCTAAACTGTTCTGGGAACGAGAGCTCGGTGCTCGACTGCAATTGGGGGAACCACACCGAAGTGTGTGACCACACGAAAGATGCTGGAGTCATCTGTGACTGTAGGTTACATTCATATTAGTATTCAAAATTCAATTCGTACATTATTCTAACACTCTTAAAAATAAAGGTTCCAAAAGGAGGGCTTTGTAGCATTTTGGGTTTCACAAAGAACCTTTCAGTGAACAGTTTGAGTGAAGAAAATTGTAATAATCTAAAGGTTCTTCATGAAACCATTAATGCTAACAAAACAAAGGTTCCACAAAAGTTCGATGCCATAGAAGAAGTGTTTTGAAGTTCCCCAAAGAACCGTCCTTAACAATAATTAAAAAAGTTAAATTTTCATAATGTGAAGAAAATCTCAAAAATCTAAAGAACTTTCCACTTTAAAGAACCTTTTGTGCAAAGCGAAGGGTCCATGGATGTTAAAGGTTCTTTGTGGAACTATAGAATTCAATAAAGAGCCTTTAATTTTGTTGACAGTGAAAAGGAATGTTTATTCTTAAGAGTGAAAGAACTTATGGAACTTTTAATTTAGCCACCCTTAGGTTACAAGGCGGCAGCGGCATGTGTTCTGGGAGAGTGGAGATTTTCCACGACAGACAGTGGGGAACGGTCTGCGGCACCACCTGGGATCTTTTGGACTCAGTGGTGGTGTGTAAAGAACTTGGCTGTGGAAGCCCAGTAGCTTCATACTACAATGCTTATTTTGGGAAGGGAGCAGGTCCAGTATGGATGGATGGTGTCAGCTGCACTGGTCGTGAGAGTTTGCTGAAAGATTGTGTGTTTAGCGTTTGGGGAGTGACCACTTGCACTCATGCCAATGATGCTGGAGTCACTTGCTCAGGTAAGTACGATCACCTGAACCTGAAATAATAGCAAAGAAATACACTGGGTATGTTTACATGCACTAATTTCTGTCAATCTGAATGAATCCAATCCAATTTCAGATTCTGAAAGTTCTGTTTACACATCGTAAAACCCAATGGTAACTTAAAGGTGCTGTGTGTCATTTTTTGACTGTGATAAAGCATACAAATACCATGTGTTTGCAGGCATTTAGGAACGTTAAGTTCACATACCTGTTACTCCGAAAAACAATGCTACAATAAGTAATTCTACTTTTAAGGATGGAGACAGCATTTGTTCTGGAAGGGTGGAGGTTCTTAGAAACAACCAGTGGGGAACTGTTTGTGGAGACAGCTGGGACATGACTGACGCTGTAGTTGTCTGTAAAGAGCTGGACTGTGGAAGTCCGGTAGAGGTAAACAAAGGTGCTTATGGAAGCGGTATTGGACCAATATGGATGGATGATGTGAAATGTACAGGCACTGAGTCCACGATGAAGAACTGCAGGTCAAACGGATGGGGAGTTCATGACTGTGAGCACACAAACGATGCAGGGGTCGTCTGCCGAGGTGAACTTCCTGACAGCATTTTCTTACTTTACACATGTTTCCAAAATATATATCCATGTATGACTTTATCATTTTAATTAGGCTGTTTTAATTTTACTCTGACAATTATTCAATATTATACATTGCAACTAGATTTGGTGCAATTCATAACATACAACTTCTATAGATCCCCTTAGTAAACGTCCATAACAAGAAAATTGTCATAAAAAAAAAATCCACAAAATACACTAGGAATCAGGGCTGCACGATTTGGTGGGGGAAATTAAATTGTGACTTCACTAATAAAAATTGCGATTTATTTTATTTTATTGTATGTTTTTATGGCTGCACAATTTGGCCAAAAATTGTGATTATATATCAATAAGACTATACAAAGAAGAAGAAAAATAAGAAATGACAAAAATAAGAAATATCACTATTGTAATCAGGGTTATTATAGTTAACTAAAAGTAAAACCTTAAAAAAAAGTACATTACGTGAAATGAACTTTAACTGAAATAAAATAAAATAGAAAAAAACTTCAAATTACTTTATTTCAGTTAGTTGCCAAAGCAACATTTTTCATTTTAATTTAGTTTAACTTCAGTTCACATAAAATAACTAACACTACAACTGAAATAAAAAATAATAAAAAATAGGCAGGCATTAAAAAAAAAAAAGAAAGAAAGAAAATAAGAAAAATGACAAAAACACAACAAAACCACTGAAAATTGAACTTTGATTAAAATGAAAACAGAAATTGTAAAAATAAAAACGAATTATATATTATTATTATTAGTAGTAGTAGTAGTATTAGCTATAATAATATCTCAGTGATAAAATAACTCTGACTGTAATATTTCAATGTAAAGAAAATAATAATAATAATAATAATACATTTGAAAACATTTTACAATTATGAGCTGCTTATGCGTAAATGAACACAGTGCGGTGCTTCAGTTTGAAACACGCAGCACATATGTTTATTTATTTAAATCGCAGCCTTTGTGATTTGATAATTGCACCAAGCCATATCGCAATTTCGGTTTTATTTTGATGAATCACGCAGCCCTACTGGGTATTATTACAATTACAATCAGTCATTAAATTCCATTACAAATACATTGAATTATCATTGTCTGTATGCATAGAGACGGATCAGGAACTCTTCTGACTTCTTTCTAGAGGTGCGGTTGGTGAACACGAACAACAAGTGTCAGGGCACAGTGCAGGTGTATCATGACGGCCGGTGGGGAACAGTGTGCCACAACAGCTGGGATATCGCAGATGGTTTAGTGCTCTGTAGAGAGCTGGGCTGTGGTGGGAACGCACAGCCCTTGGCAAGTGCCTATTTTGGGCCCGGTGATGGGCTGATATGGATGGATTCACTCAGATGCAAAGGTGACGAGTCAAACCTGAGGAAATGCCAGTTTGGTGGGTGGGGAAACCATCAATGCATTCATGCATATGATGCAGGAATCATCTGCAGAGGTGCGTCCATGTCCAAACCTATACAGTACATCAGTCCTCTATGGAAGCTTGTTTGTTTTTCTCACAATTCTCACAGTTTATCTCTCACATTTCAGATTTTTTTCCCCTGAAATTCTGAAGAAAAAAAGTCTGAATTACTAGATATAAACTCGGAATCATGAGCTGCTTGCGTGTAAATTAACACAGTGCCTCGCTTCACTCTGAAACACCTTTGCAATCTGATAAATACAATTCTGAGTTTCTATCTCTTGCTATTCTGAGAAAAAAAGTCCGAACTGTGGGATAAAAAGTTGCAAGTACCTTTTTTTTATTGTTTTTTTTTTCTGTGGCGGAAAAAAACAACAACAGAAAAACTGTGAAATGTAAATTCAGAATTCCGAAGAAAAATTTTAGAATTGCTAGATATAATCTCGGAAATGCGATAAAAGGCAGAATTCCGAGTTCATATTTCACAATTCTGATTTGTTTTAGTTTTTTGCAAGAATTGCGAGAAAAAAAATCTGAATTGTGAGATAAAAAGTCACAATTACAAAAAAATAAAAAAAACTGCAAATGTAAACTTATAATCCTGAGGAAAAAAGACAGTATTGCAAGAAGTAAACTCGGAATTGCGAGAAAAGGGCAGAATTCTGAGTTTATATCTTGCATTCCTTGACTTTTTTTCTTAGAATTCTGAGGTTACATTTTGCAATTTTGTTCAGTGGAAAAGTCTGATTTGTGAAATAAAAAGAAATACAGAAATTACCTTTTATTATTTAGGCTTCCATAGTTCTCTGCATTTGCAAATATTAACCAGAAAACTATTTCTATGCAAACATAAAATGATAAACAAAAACAATATCAAATAATAAAATAGGCTACTTAGCTGTAGTTATATGACACAACAAATACAAAACAAAAAAAAAATGTGGTTCGGTTATCTTGATTGAAATCAGTACATCAGATTTTATCACCATATCATATTGCTATAAACAATGTCTTTTACAGAAATTAAAAATGTGCTCAGGATTGAGGTGAACGCTGACTCTGGCGCAAACCCCAACGACCCTTCACACATGACAAAACTACTGGACAAAGTAACAAATATTTCTAATTCAATTACATTTTTCTTTGTATATCTATTCTTGCCATTGAGTGTCTGTGGTCTAATTCATCTGAATTGCACAGATCAAGGAAGAGCTTAAAAACTCCGGAAATTTCTCTGTCACGTGGAGAACTCAGTTGAATGGGCAGGTGTTTCAGGAAAAGAAATTATTTGATCCCTGACAGGTTTGTAAACTCTTTCTGAATGGGCTTATTTTAAAGATGGAACTAGAATATAGAAATTCAGATCTTCATTCAAATTGTTGCAGGTCTGTTATTTGGAAAGGAGCCATAGAAGAAATGACTTTTCATGACAAATTCAACAGAACAACTGCTCTTGCAGAATCATCCTGATTATGAAGAAATTCTAGAAGTGTTTATAAACTAAAAAGGTTTAATATATTTCACAGCATATGAAATAAAGCATACTGTGAAGAACTTTTTTTTTAGGTTACAGCAGGTCAGCGTCAGTGAAGGTTTTTAATAATTTCGAGTGCATTGATACTTCTGTGTCACTGGCCATTGTTTTATTACTTTCATTGGTTGGAGGTGAAAGAAAAAAAATGTAAAACTGATTTTCTTTACGTGTTAAATGTTTATTTGCTTTCTGATTTAATATATTTCTTATAGTTATACACCAACCTTCTAAAATAAGATAATTTGCTTAACTGTGTATTCATTTATATGGTGTTACATTTCATTACACAAACAAATGTTTCCAGAATAAAGCAGATTAATCAATTTTTTTTTGTAATTCTAGTAAATAAATACATAAATAAATGAATATAAATATAAATAAATAAAATTCTAAGTTATTCTACTTTGTTCTTCTTCCTGAATTTGCACCAGTACATTATATACACATTTATTTTCCATATATACAGTTTTCAATATTGTAGAGTGAAGCAACAGAAAGATTAGCATTATGTCGTTATAATTAGGATTTGACAGTGGGCATACTGTGCAATAGGTGCTCATACACCCGAAATCCCGCTGCTTGCACATGCACAGCTCTTAGTAGCAGTTATAAATATTATAAACATTAATATATGTCATAGGCTATATACAATAAATATTATGCACGCCCCAAGGTGAGCCACATGACTTCTCCCCTGCTTTCACACACACACACACACACCACACACACACACAACATAAGCCTACCTTTCAGAAGTGCGTGACGTGCTTTAAAACTCATTTGTCATCACCAGCAGCAAAAGTCGTCATCTTTTGTATTCATGTACAGACAGTTTAATTCGCTTTGAAGGCAGTTTTGGATGTACTTCAGGGTGTTTTGCATGTAGACTGCTGAGGCGAGGGGAGGCAGTAGCGGCACTATGAAGGAAAGTTCATTTAGATTTATATTTAGAAATAAAATCTTTCTCCTTCTTGCTGTCCTGACTGTGCAGCTGCCTAGTTCACCCTTCGGCATGCTTTAGCCCTGTCTGTGAATATAACAGGTTTATGATTAAAATCAATAATGCATATATATTTACATATATTTTAAAAAGAGACTCCAACACCTCTCAGTTTACAAACCTGTGGCTGTTCTCTGCTGGTGGAATACCTGCTCATCAGGCTGTGTTCTCCAGTTCACACTATACTTCCCGTTACTTTCAACCACATGCCTCATCTGTGAAATTCAGTGAAATTGTAGAAAGAAAACACTCAAGCTAGAGTAATTACACATATTGAGCACACTTTTTGTCCTTTCACTTTATCCCATTTTATCTATCTATCTATCTATATATCTATCTATCTATCTATCTATCATTGCACAGATAGATTGTTTGATAAAAGTTAACATGAATCTTACCATATCCAGAAGCTTATTCTTGATATCTGGGTCATTGACATTGACTCCAATCTCGGCCTT